AGCAGGAACAGCTTGTGCAGCACATCAGCTGCATTTCCCTGGTGCCAAATTGGGCTGTGATGTTTTCCCTGGGCAGGGGGGCTGGAAGGAGGCAGAGCTGCTGGAAGTTGCTGTGCTCTCCTGCAAGGTGTGGTTCCTCAGCAAGATAAAGGCATGACAAGATAGAAAATGTTCCCCATTACAGAGTGGTATCAGGTGCTCCAGAGGTAAGCTGACTTGCCAGAGTTTGCTTAATGGTGCAACCGAGAAACACTGAACAGATTTAACCAGCAGGCAGAGTTAATTTATTTACATATTTTTATTCAGTAGGACTAATTTACCAGCCTCATTATTTGCTAAGGGATTTTCATCCCTCAAAGGCCCTCCACATTCCCACCCTCACTTCTGCTCCTTGTGGTTCTCGTTGCCTTTTGCAGCACCTTCCCCTCTTGCAGGCAGGAGGACGTGGGGGATGAAGCTCTGCTGCCCCTCCTGAGCCCCCAGCACTGGAGCTGGAGCCCACCAGGCAGGTCCTGCACGTCCACCTCCTGCATGGGGAGATACCTGCTGGGCAGTGCTGCTCCTACACCAGTGCAGGGGCTTGTTTACTGTCCCTGGCTGCTTCCTGCAGGGAAGGATTTCATCACATCTAGCTCCTAGGTTTGGAAATTGAAGAAGTTGAAAGTTCAGGGTCAGAGGTTTGCATGCAATGAGGCAGAGGCAGGGCTGGGAGGTTGGGCAGCATTTGGGGATGGGTTCCAAGCCTCCTTGGTGCTGCTCATTTGTGCCAACTCACATCTTCGCTGGTCCAGCCTTGATCCTGCTGTCACGGCTGCTCATTGTAACTCAAATCTGCTTCAGCTGCCACCTGGGGAATTGTTTGGGTTTTGGGAAGCTGGAGCAGCCCCTTCTATCCACTGCTGCCCTTCCCTGTTGTCTGCCTTTACAGAGCTGGATGCTGCAGTAACCCAGCCAGGACATGGGAACTGGGGGGATCCAGAGGGCTGAGCAAGAAAGGGGACTTGCAACTGTGACTGGCAGCTCTCCCTGCAGCTTCCATCAGAGCAGGACTGGAGTCCCTTGTTCTAGCCCTGGCACTGGAGTGACCCATCCAAACCTCTCTCCCTGAGGCCATTTTTCCAGGAGCTCCCACCTCACGCTGCCTGCAGAGCTGCCTGTTTGGCAGCACATGCAGAAGTGCATCAGGCAGGTTCTTGCTCTTTTGATCCAGTTGTCTTAAAGATCAACATTTATGTTCCAAGGAGGAACCAAAATACATCAGAATGAACTGGAGAAGTGAGGCAGCTGTGGAGAGGAGAGACTGGCAAGTCCTGGTTCTTTCAAATGCAGATTGTGTCAGGGTTTCACTCTGAACTGAGTGCCCCACATTTTGCAACAGAAAATTTCTAAATCAGTTGTAACGAGCCCTCAGCCTTCAAGAAAGGGAGGGGAAATGAGGAAGGAGCAGGGCTGGTTGTCTCAGAAGACTGCTAGAAGTGAGGATGTCATACAGGAGCCCATACTCCAGGGACCTTTCTCAGGCCCCAGACTTTCAGGACCCTGTGACCATCACTGATTTCTGAAGGTGATGGGAAATGTGGTCACCAGGTCACTCTTCAGGCACTTGGAGAAGCCCTGAGATGCCAGATTTCAGCCATCAGCTCTGGGGGTTGGTAGGAGACAGGAGATTTTGTGGCACATTGAGGAGATGCTGAGGAAACTGAGTGAGCCAGAGCTTTGCCTCCATCACTTTGCAGCCCTTCCCAAGGACTGGGGCAGGAGCAGACCTGGGTTTCTCTGCAGATGATCAATTGAGGAAACAAAATCACCAGAAGAGATGTTCTCACTATGAAAACATCAGGTGGAAATAAGTACCATGTTTCCACAAATTTCTTATTTATATGCTGTTCCAATTGAACCTTCTGCAATCCCTCATCCTACCTGTAAATGGCTGGCAAGATGCTTTCATATCTGAGAAGGGAAAGAAGTCAATTCTGTGAAGTTATTTCCCCAGAGATTTGAAGAAAACACAGTGGTGTGACCAGTCAGGGGTGATCCATAGCTTGGATGGGAAATTTGCCTTTGAATTAGGCTGAGAAACTGAAGTGGCCAAGTTGAAAGGCTGAAAACTTCCTCTTGCATTGGTTGAAATGAGGCCATGGCTGGTCAGACAACTAAGCAGGAACTCAGGAAACTACAGGAAGGAGCAGGTTGTAGCTGAGGGCTCAGCTGGGCTGAGCTG